TCGATTTAAGATTAATTCGATCCGCTCAATCAGTCTTATATAGATTGATTAACGTCATCTTTTGAGGCTGATCTCGTCTATATATAAACGCTATGTTATCGCAAATGCATTCCTTTGTCTGTTATATATTTTATTACTTGCAAATTCATACGCAAATAATTGTTAACTACTTGCGATTATGCATGATTGATAATGATTGATATGGTTGATTACTATTTGTTTTACAGACAGTTCCTAACCTTGGTTCAGGCTAAGACATTAAAGCCCTTTATAGCTTTATTAGAACCCATTAAGATAAGACATTGATATGACATATATGACGAACGGAAAAATGTAAAAAAAATAGGAATGAATTGAAGTGAATAAGTGCAGAGGCAGACATGGCCACACACACAGATAGAATGTCACGTGATATTTGAGGCTTTATTATTATATGTACATATATGTAGTCATATAAATATATTTATATATGTGGCAATTTACTTGGCAGCGATAAGTGAGCTGCGTTGATTAAATTGTTTGAAATTGTTTGCTTAAAGCACACAAAAAGAGAGAGAGAAGGAGAGAGAGTGGGAGAAGCAGAGATAGATTGGACACATCACGCAATGAGCGANTCACACATATACATCGAATCGCTCTCTTTTGTCTTCAACTTATTCGATTTAAGATTAATTCGATCCGCTCAATCAGTCTTATATAGATTGATTAACGTCATCTTTTGAGGCTGATCTCGTCTATATATAAACGCTATGTTATCGCAAATGCATTCCTTTGTCTGTTATATATTTTATTACTTGCAAATTCATACGCAAATAATTGTTAACTACTTGCGATTATGCATGATTGATAATGATTGATATGGTTGATTACTATTTGTTTTACAGACAGTTCCTAACCTTGGTTCAGGCTAAGACATTAAAGCCCTTTATAGCTTTATTAGAACCCATTAAGATAAGACATTGATATGACATATATGACGAACGGAAAAATGTAAAAAAAATAGGAATGAATTGAAGTGAATAAGTGCAGAGGCAGACATGGCCACACACACAGATAGAATGTCACGTGATATTTGAGGCTTTATTATTATATGTACATATATGTAGTCATATAAATATATTTATATATGTGGCAATTTACTTGGCAGCGATAAGTGAGCTGCGTTGATTAAATTGTTTGAAATTGTTTGCTTAAAGCACACAAAAAGAGAGAGAGAAGGAGAGAGAGTGGGAGAAGCAGAGATAGATTGGACACATCACGCAATGAGCGACAACACGTGAATGGCTCGGGCGATGCGTTGTAAAGCACATAAAACTGATAAAAATGGGGACAGTTCAATGCTATCCCCACTTACAACGGAAGCAAGTCTTATCTGCCCCTCTCACAGAGTCAAACAAGCCACAGAGTTCACACTTCATGAGCTCTTACTTAATCAATCCAAAAATCTATAGCATACTATAAGGTAGTTTTCTTTCAAAAACGTTGCATAAGTTCAGGCTCAGATATACATTCTTATCACTCACCATGATATGAAAGAGTTACGTAGGAGATTTGGACACAAGACTCGGTGCAGCCAATGGGCTTGAGAGTACGCACAAATTGACCCTCCTGCAGGGTGTAGACATTAACAGTGCCATCCTGTGAATAGAACAAGAGATATATATAGAAGGAAGTTATCTTCTTTGTTCGGGTTAGGCTGTAAGTCAACTAGTCAGTTCGTCAAGCAATCAGACTATGTTCTATATAGAAAGACAGAGAGATCAATGAATCTTTTGAGCTATGAGATTATTACAAATACATCGAGATCGGCCAATCAAGATCTGTCCATAGCATTGTCATCTATACAAAGTGCAGCTATCAGTAGTCAGTCACTCAATGCGTCATTCTTATATACACAACTGCACCTACCAGCGAGCCCGAGACAACGAGATCCAGCTCTGTGTAGATGGCCACACTGGACACCGCATCGTCATGTCCATAGAGCACAGTGAGTGGCTTTGGTGAGTAGCTATTCTGTGTATTSAGCTGCGTGATGGCCTGCAGATGGGATTGTCCCGTCAAGGCGTGCACTGGAATGTTGTTGGGTGGGGCGCCGCTCTGCTGATTGCCCTGTATGCTCCACACAATGCAAGTGCAGTCGCGTGAGCCGGTGACCAGATACGAGCCAACGTTATCCAAGGCCAGGCAGGTGATTATGTCCAAATGGCGGGTGACAGAGGCCAAGGTCTTGCCCTTGTTTAGGCTATAGACACGCAGCGCATTGTCCCATATGCCGCCGGCGTAAAGCAATTTGCCGTCTGTGCTGACCGCAAAGTTCTGCGAATGGGGCGGTTGTGAGGGGTGGAAGGGGCCAAAGATGCGCTTGCGATTTCTGCAAAGAAAAGAACGGCATTAAGAATCGGATAGAATTGGTTAGAGAAGTACGAACTCACTTAAGATTTGTCGTAGTTGCATCGATTTCCAGCAAAAATCCTTGCTCTTTGTCAAAGGACATCCATGAATTGCAGCCCAGGATGCARCCTTTCGARACGCTGACCAGCACATCGGGACTGAGCTGCAGAAAGGAGCGTGGCGGACTGCGGGGCGGACTTAGATAGACAATGGGATCCTTGGGCGTGGATAGCTCGCAGTAGTACTGCACCACTTTGTCCAGGAACTGCGTAAGATCGGGTCGCTTCAGCTCCGAGCGCAGCAGCTTCACAGCCGTCTCGTCCTGAGTGAGTCGACGCGGATGCGGCTCCCGCAGCAGCTGAGACGGCACTTGTCCAAAGTTGTTGATCATGCCTGCCAGACACAAAATATTAGTAAAATATAAAAGCTTTTGGATGGGCACCCACCTTCCACAGCTTCCCGTTCAATGGGATTGGTTATTTTGTCGAGATCCACGGCGCCCTCATAGGAGCAATAGTAGAAGACGTTTAGAGCCTCCACAGCTTTGGCGCCCTTCTGCTTGTAACCAAAGATCAGATCAATCCAGTGATGCAAATGCTGGCTAACGTATTCCGACTCCAAGGCACGCCGATGTATGGCWATAAACTCCTCCGGCGTGGTAGCCCAAGCAGGCAAAATGACATCGTCGACCTTTTCCTTCGTAATTTGTAAATGTCCCAAGTCGAATCTAGAGTGGATTACATATGGATTACCATAGCATCGAAACATTGTTGCCTGAAGCAACTCACTTGTTCATATTCTTGAGAAACTCTGGAAAGTAAAAGAACTCGGGTATTAGCTCCTTGACATCATTAGGATTGTCCATTAATAGCTTCCAAGTTTGCGGTATGGAGTGAAATTGTCGATCAGCCACATCGAAGCGGCCGCTCTGCAGCTCCACGTGCAACGAGGTGAAGGGCTCCACGCGCAGCATATAGTGCAGCACGCCCGCCGAATTGGAGTAATGTGTGCCATAGTGAAATTTCGGTATGGCACCAGAGGGATCTTCAAAGGAATCGTATTTGCCGCGCACCTCAGCCTCATTCTTGGGATTGATCTGTAGCGAGAGTAAAAAATAAGATCAACCCCACATGTATATGTGGCTAATATATTAGGAACTTACACATCCAATGGGCTTGGACAAGTCACGAAAGGAGCGCGGATCCGTTAGATCCAATACGTCGCTGGTGTAGTCAGCCAGAATCCAGGGAAATACGGGATATTGACTAAGATCATTATAAGAGCGGCCTAGGGGAAGGAATACAAAGTATTTAAGTCAGGAATTACAACTAGATCTAACTTAAGCCTCACCAGCTATGGTATTTAGGTACATTAGGTATTCAAAATTGGATATTTCACGATTGACCCAACGCTGAGTGAGACCTGACGCGCGGAGCAGCTCAGGCGGCGAACGACCGGAGCCATAGAGTATGTTCGGCAAGGGTAAACCAACAATCTTAGTAAACACCTTGTTACGGGTCTAAATAGCAAACAAAAAGGATAAGTGTGTAAATATTCAAGTGAAAATGATCCATTAAATATTACCTTAGTTGTAAAGTTAAGAAAATAGCTTGTCTGATCTATCAGAAAGATCTCCAAGGCGCTGCGTCGCAGATTATACTTGCGCAGATGAACTTCACGTATTTTATTAATGGAAAACCTGATGGAAAACAATCCAAATTAAACTTGAGGTAGGATAACGAAGCATTTGCAGTTCAGACGTACCTAAAATCATGTTTGGAGCCATCTTCCATTGGAGGACTCATGTCCACGAACGTGAACACGCTCTGATTGACTTCAATGCGACCCTTGACCTTGGTCATAAGCGTAATGAGTTCACAATCCTGCGACATGACCAGCTTCTCCAGCGCCGTATCCTGCTGCGATTGCGTATCAATTAACTGCCGCAGCTCCTCCTCTAGCTGGGAGCTTTCGTCGTCGGCCAGAAAATCTCGCACCACAGCATTTTTGATAGTGGAGTCAAATTCGGATATTTCTCTAAACGGGAAAGAGTTGAAGTCAACCGTGAACATGTTTACGGCTCGCACTTACTTTGTGTCGTAAGCACTGGTCGCATTGTCCCGCAAATTGGCTGCGTTTTCGTGCTTATTGGGATACAGCTGCGGCTCCAGCTTGAGGCGCATGCGTGCCACATTTTCGTGTGGTGATAGTTTCCAAAACTCTTCACCAATCTCGCTGTAAAATGAAAAGAAAGTAAAGGAGATTCAAATCAGCAAGTTGACTTAGAGATGCGCTCCTTGCAATTACAGTCAGTGATGCGCAAATAGAGCAGGATCTACATGACTTATCTACAAGTTTTGGTATTTTTGCTAAGCTGGAGCAATATATCGATATTGCAACGGATAATAAATGCTAGCTATATCAGTTAATCAATTTGAAAAGGATAATCTTATTTGCAATATTATCTACTTATCGATATTCGCTTAACACATGTATATCGAATTCAAATTTGAGTATAGAATACGCTCAGCTTTATCTAATAGATGCATGCATATGTAATGAAAAGCACAAATTCAATTTTGGAATCACAAATTTATTTAGGTAATTTATTTAAATTTGGGTTTTGCGATGAAAGTTATTCGTTTAGCACGACAATGATTAATCGAATATGTACAAATGAAAATCCTTTGTCAAACTGTTATACACTCCATTTACACAAAGGCGCAAGCAAGACGACACGCCTCTAAAGTCCTTCGCTTCCTTTAGACTACGATGGGTCCGGCCAGGGTCTTGGCGAACAAGGGAGCAGGTGCCGCGACAACAGGTGCTGGCGCCGCGAAAGTCTTCAGCTTGGCAACAACTGGAGCAACGGGGGCAACGGGTGCCACCACGGGCACATCCTTCTGGACGACGGCATTGAATCCATTGATGGAATCGGCATAGTAGGTGACAATGCGACGCGAGCCATCAGCCTCAATCAGAGAGTAGGAGCCACGAACGACATCACCATCACGAGACTCCTCCTGAGTCTTGGAGTCGCCGGTAATCGTATCCTGGACATCATAGGCGAATTTGTACTGTGGGTGGGCATCGACGATCTCTGTGGCAACGGGCGCAGCAACGGGAGCAGCCAGAGGGGCGGCAACGGGAGCGGCAACGGGAGCAGCGACTGGAGCGGCAAGAGGAGCAGCAACTGGAGCAGCCAGAGGAGCAGCCACTGGAGCAGCCAGAGGAGCAGCGAAACGAGCAGCCAGAGGGGCAGCCACTGGAGCAGCGTAACGGGCAGCCAATGGTGCAGCAGCCAGAGGGGCAGCAACTGGAGCAGCGGCAAAGGTCTTGGCAACCAGAGGAGAGGAGTAGGCCAGAGGAGCTCCGTAGGCAGCAGGAGCTAGACCAAGAGGTGCCGAATAGGCAGCTGGCGCAGCAAAGCCTAGCGGTGCAGAGTAAGCAGCGGGAGCAGCATAACGCAGAGCTGGCGATGCAAAGTATGGGCTAGCAGCCAGTGGGGCAGCAAAGTCCGCCTGAGCGGAGAGCGCCAGAGTGGAAAGGACTGCAACAACCTGCAAAGCGAATGCAAACACGTGAGTATCCAATTCGATGCCAATTCGAGTCCAATTGGTATCCCGTATGTAGCCAATTGGCTCAGCTGTTGGCTTACCGTCAAAGGATTCATTGTGCGGCTTGGGGGTTAGGATTGATTGTCACCGTCGGTTAACGAAAATGAACTGACATGCCATTACCAAAAACTCGACGACTTTTATACAATTTGCGAAATTTGCATTTGCCGTGGCCGGCTAGCTGAATGGATGGTACTGTGGCGTACCAATTGCGTAGCCGAACCACCGCACCACCCGCTACTCGTTGCACATCAGCAGCTACCGACGCTTGGCAGCGTCTGCCGTCTTCTTGATCCAAATTCGTGGCACGTCCCACAAATTTTTCTGTCCAAGTTTTCAATTTCAGCTCGAACCCTGCTCCGAATCCGAGTCCATGGCTACGAAAGTAAGTTTTTTGTTTTTTTGGTAATTGTCATGCAGCTGCCATTCAATGGCAATACTTTAATTTTCCTTTACACCCAAAAATTTAATCAACGCATCGCCCAAATAGATCGTATGCCGGAATGTTGTGTCTTAAAATTAATCAATAAGTGACTTTAGCTGAGAAACTGCTCAAATAATATGCGTATCGAATTAGTCGATAGTTGATAGACGATCAACGATTGTTTCTTAATTGCTTAAATACAGCCCAATCAAAACTTTCAGTTAGAAAAGCCATTATGGATATGCCCATCAGAGAGTTAGGCTAAGATTAAGCTACATCTAATCTTAGGCCAATCATAAAGTCGACAATCCATCATCGATAATCGATAATCGTTTATTGACCAAAGATTGCTAATCAAGTCACTCAACTGGAAAGTTTCAATTAGAAATGCTAATGGAGTACGCCGCAGACAGTTTCTCTTACGTGATCGAAACTGGTTGATAATAATCATAAAAAAGTAACAAAACTAATAAATAGCTAACAGTAGCCCGTAGACTACGCCGTAGATCTTGTAACCCACTTCCAATTGGCTACCGCTGCAGATTCGACCCAATTCCAAAGTGTGTGAAGCGTGACTCGTTTGCCAAGCCAAGAGACGACCTTGTGGCGGCGACGCGTTGGCAAACTTGGCAGCACTTGGTGCGCTCAATCGGCCGCTTGGTCACACTGAAAAGGCAGAGTTAACTGTTAACGGTTAACGAGTTAACGGTTGTCACCGGAAACTGACAACAAAAAACAAAACTAAGCTAAACTAAACTCTAAACTAGTCGCAAGTTGCCTTAAAAGGCTTCGCTGCGCCGATCTGTGCTCCACAACTTGGCCAGACTTTTACTTGTCAAAATTTGTAGTACATAAATTGCGATAAATGCACAAAAATTGCATCAGAAAAATAGATGTATATCTAATAAGAGAGATCTGTAAAAGTGTGAATGTATATACAGCGAATAAAGAGAGAGAGAGATATATATATAGATGTGGTGGAAGCAAGCAAGTTTTTGGAAAGGATTGAAAGGTGGGAGATAGAGAGAAAGGATATACAAATAGCATGAGGAAAAGAGAGGGGGGCTCACTTTATAAAGTAAGCTTTAAGTATAGGAGTAAAATAAGCAGGGCTTTACACTAGGCTATATCAAATTGTTTATTTTAAACTTGATCTCTACTCATTTTCTGCTTATCAATATAGATTTTAAGTATAAATTCAGTATATACAGTTACAATTTCATTATATATTCGATTACACATAATGTTGTATATAGTTGCGTATATAATACAAGTTTTAATCGGAAATTGTTGCATTGGAATGTTCAACACCTTTCAAGTCTGGTTTTAATTTTGGTTAATCTTATAAAAGGATTTTTTATTTGGCTAATTGAAAGTCGTTTAGACGTCAGGAGTTTCCTGCCTAAAAGCAAACTGAATGTTGGCATATTAGGTGACTGATGCGGGGCCTCTAGCGGGCTGGGGAGGCTGGGCAGCTCTACTCAGTGCGTAATTAAGTTAAGCTGAAAACGTGGCCGAAAGAAAAAAACAATTTGCTGGCTATATTGTGGGCAAGGTCACTTGGCTTGGACTGCATTTCTGCAATAGCGAATGTGGGCGCAACAGTGTGCGTGTGGCTGAGCGAGTGTGTGTGTTTGCTCGTGTGTGTGTGTGTGTTGAGCGTGTCTGCACCACTGTGCGTAATTGCTCGATCTGCACGCCACGCACATGCCCCGCCCGCTCTGCCCGCCCGCCCCCTTTGATCAATTGCTTCCATTTTAGATTTCTAATTAAACGAGTCGAACGATCAGCTATAAAGTGAGAAAGAGAAAGAGGGAGTGGTGCTTGTAGAGAGTGGGACAGGGAGAGGTAGCTTGAAAAAGTGGGGGCTATGAATGGCTGCAGTCTCGTTTTTATTTATATATACCCTGGACTTGTCAGAAATGACGGTCGAAGTATCTAAAAACATATACCTAATATAAAACTAATACATAAATATTCTTGGTATAGATCTTTCCATAGTTGTCTATATGAAAAGTAGGCCTTATTACAGATACTTTTCAATTTGGTTTTCCACTTTCACTTATCCATTATGCTCCCAAATTTCTCACTTATTTATAGAAAACCGCTTAATTTCAGGATATTCCATTCGCATCCCCTTCGACTTGAGTATCCTGATTTCTTCTTGTTCTCTCATTTCCATTTTACTCACAGTAGGCAGCTCTAGTTCAGGGTATCTTTTAGTCTATCGCCAGTTCACTGGCTTGTTCAATATTTGCAATTTGGCTTCGCTGGGCAACTGGCAACTGGCAACTGGACAACTGGCAATTGGCCAAGTGAATCGCGCTATTACATCAGACAAAACGTTCGCAGAACCTGAGAATTGGCCGAGATCTGGTTTTATTTACTTTTCGGTTGATGGGGGCGCAGCGGAAAACGAGTTGAGTTTGGGATTTGGAGCGGTGCTCTTGAGCGGCTGCTGCTGTGGCTGTTGCTATTCCATTGAGAAAAACAAACAGCCGCAGCAGCTGGAAAATGACGAAATGTGCAGCAGCAAACATGAAATTGGCGACTAGGAGCACGAAAATGAGATTCGAGATCGAGATTTGAGTTGGATATCGAGACTGAGTAGCTGCTTGAGTATGTGCATCGCTGCATGAGGACGGGGTGCTAGCTCGAGAGACGTCAATCGGAGCAATTGTCACTAGCCATTAGTTAGTTAGCCATCGCGGGGCCARGGGGAGGCAGGAGTGCTGCTGCGGCTGCCTGCCACAAATGGTTAAGCGCGACTTGTATATAAGACTGAAGAACTCGAGGAAAATGCATCTCACACTCGAGCTGAGTTCTTGCAGTGCAGACGCGCTTCACACCGAATAAAGCAATAGAAGGAAACACAAATATCCTACAGCATGTTCACTCAGGTAAGTGCCAGGACTCGTGGCCTGCCAAGGACTACTCTCCGTGTTCCCTCTTCTAGACTCTTTGTGTGCTTGGCCTGGTGCTGGCTGTGGCAGTGGCCGTACCCATTGACTCATACGGCCCGTCGCTGATTTCGGCTCCAGCTATTTCGTATGCGGCTCCCAAGCTCCTTGCGGCTCCAGCTATCTCATATGCAGCGGCTCCAGCTATCTCCTACGCAGCGCCCAAGCTCCTGGCCGCACCTGCCTTGGCTGTGTCCAAGGTGGCAGTCGCCGAGCCCTACGATCCCAATCCTCAGTATAGCTTCTCGTACGGAGTCACGGACCACAAGACTGGCGACTCCAAGCAGCAGGAGGAGACCCTGGTCAATGGTGTTGTCCACGGCAGCTACTCCCTGGCCGAGCCCGATGGCACCATTCGCAAGGTGACCTACACCGCTGACAAAGTTAACGGTTTCAATGCTGTCGTCGAGAAGAAGGGCGTGGCCGTGGTAGCTAAGCCCGCATTAGCCGTTGCCGCCGTGCCAACCATCGCCAAGCTGGCGGTGCCTGCTCTGCCCGCCATCACGAAGATTGGATATGCTGCACCTGCGTATGTTGCGTCCGGCTATGGTGCCCATTACTAGATAGGCATAGAGCCCGGAGATCCGTAGACGACCTCAGACCGTTGTTGAATAGTTCTAGTTCTGCATCCCAATCCATCCAACCATCCAACCATCCGAAACCCAAATGACGTGCGTGCTGTATGCTCAACTGAAGCCAACTCCGCATCCTGTGGCCAATCTCTTGATACACACAAATGTAGCTTCTAGGGATACCCGTTTCTAGGGGATTTTGGGGAACGGCTATCGGCCATTTATCTAGTGATTTATTAACTGCATCTACTGAATAAAAGTTTCGGTACAAAAAAGACTATGGTTTCAATGGCTAGAGTTGAACAAGAGAGGATCCCCAGATACCAAGAAGCAAGGAAGGACAGCTGTCTACCATTTTCAGGAAAAGGAATTCAACTATCCAGGAAACCCTAGCTGATCTGATATCTAACCTAATCTTTTACAATATAATGCAATATTCGGTTGCTTTGAAGGCCAAGTGGTGACTCACAAAACTCTTTGATGTTGAGGTAGGTTCGACCTCAACCTCAAGACGCACCGAAAATGGGAAGCTATTAATGCGCATCACGTGCCACCGTTAACGTTATGATTGCCATATAGCGGGGGCTGCGGACTTGGGTGCTGGGGATTGTGCAAATGGGCTGGGGAAATGACATGAAATGGCACGTCCATTGAGGAAATATGACTGACTACGCTGCGGATTGCCCCTTACGTCAGAGTTGGCCATTGGCTGGTCACATTTGGCAGCGGTTGCCACAACGCACCTGACCACCAGGGCGGGTGGCGAAGTGTTTAAAACCAAGCACACCGCACCACCARAAGACAGTACAGAAAGTGCAATCAARSCCCACTCACTACCCACAGTTCAATCAGACAGCCCAAGCAACGACATGGCCCTACTCAAGGTAAGTCTGGTAAAGGAGCTAACGAGAGTGAAGGAAATCTAAGCGAAGGTCCCTTGCAGACTCTCATCATCAGCTGCGCTCTGTTCGCTGTCATCGAGTGCGCCCTGGTTCCGGCGGTGCCCGTCAACACGGACTTCGACCCTCATCCACAGTACGCCTACGCCTACAACGTGCAGGATGCCATCACGGGAGACAGCAAGAGCCAACAGGAGGTGCGCGACGGCGACGTGGTCAAGGGCTCCTATTCGGTAGTCGATGCCGATGGCTCGCTGCGCACCGTTTTCTACACCGCCGATCCCATCAACGGCTTCAATGCGGTGGTGCAGCGCGGCCCAGTTCCAGTGCCAGTGGTTGCAGCAGCACCACGCCCCGTCGTACCCGCTGCCCCATTCCTGGGCTGAGAGGCAACAGCTGCCGATTTTAGCTTGTAGATAAGTTATTGTCTGTTACTGTTCTGTAGATCTAACCGCACACTCATAAATCATCCAATAAATCCAGTTAGCCAAAGAGAACAAACAACGTGGCTAATTGCTGGGACACCTGGCTGTGGATACTACCAGCTATCGGTCGAACGCTGACAAATGGCTCCAGTTCTAACCAATTTGCATGAGATATTTTAAAGATATGCATTGCTATACAACTGGAGCCGTGAGATACGCAGGAATCGAGTCGCTGACTCGTTTACCCTTCTCAATTACATTTCGGTTAGATTTTTAATTTTCCATGTGGTTTAGTTTTTGGTATACCCAAGCCTCTCTCGATCTCTATTTTCCATTTTCCATTTTGCTGCTCCTAGAGTAGCACCACTCGATGCCGTAACACCACCCACCCACATCATGCGAGTCCCATGTCTCGCCTGTTACATATATGATTAAGTAGACAAACTGGACTATAACTCTAATGGACCCCACCCGATTCCGTAACACCCTCGCATCGCACCCACTGCAAAGAACACTCTCCCTGCCATGCAAACGGCCAACATTCACTCGATCAACACGCACTCGAATTATTCAATAGCTTAATTGAAAGTACTCGACGCGTTACAATTTTTTGATTACGCAAAAAGCTGCGCATGTCTCCGCTGCAGTCGCACACGCAGTCGCCGTCGACGTCGCCATCGCCATCGCCATCGCAGTTGACGGCGACGCTAACGCAGCCGTTGACGTTGACGTCGCTGGCAACTGCGACGCCTAACAAGGCACAACGTGCGTTCAAAATTAGTGATAATGGGCAAAATTGTCCCAATGGCAGTAAAATGTGCGCAAAAGCCAAGTAAGAGTGAGCGTGTAGTGTGTGCGGGTGTGCGACTACTAAATACCCTGTAATGAGGGAAACATGTCGACACATGTCGGCCTTGAAGATGGAAGTTAGAAATGGGAGTTGAATTGAAATACGTTATATTGTTTATTTAGGATTAGAGAACTATATAGTTCATGTGTCACTAGTTCAATTGAATAGTTCATGAACATGTTTGCTATTGAAGTAGAGCTCTGTACTTCATAAACAGCTGAGCAATTGAAGAGATCATGATCAATGGATAACTGAGCACAGAGTATTGTCTAGCATGGACAGGTTTCTTCAGATCAGAAAACAATATATCTAATCAACACATGCAGGTGTTGCATATGCCATATCATATGCAATATAGCCCCTGCCGCCCACTTGCTTCTACTACAGGGTATTAAAAACATTGTTGCAGTGGCAATTGCCTGTTGCAATTTGGGGAGTCGAGGCTTACGGATTCGGACTCGGATTCGCTGTCGCTGTCGGTGTCGGAGTCGGCCAGTCTGCGGGGTGAACAGTTTGCTGCCGCTGCCGTCGCTGCCACTGCTGCTGCCACCGCTGCTGCAGTTGCAGTTGCAGTTGCTGCTGGGCGCGGCGTGTCGCTGCTTTGTGCCAGTTTCGAAGGCTGATCGCGCATAGAGCGACGGCGACGCACACACCTTTCAACAATCGACTGGGTGCGTGGAACGATCTATGTGTGAGTGCCACACACACACACACACGCATACACTTGCACACCTGATGCCGCCTGGCCACCCGGACCAAAAGAAAAAAAAACGCTTTCGAATTGAACTTTTTTGTCACGATCGAATCCCCGCCTGCTGCTGCTGCTGCTGCTGCTGTTCCAAGCTCATGTAGCCGTTCATTTCGGCGGTGTCCACCACTCGTCGCTAGGAGCCGACCCAGCCAGCCAGCCAGCTAGCCAGACAACATGCGTGCCATTCTCGTAGGCCTAAGCTGTTTTTTGTCTGGCCAGAGCACACCTGCCCCGCCCCGCTCACCAGTCAGCCAGACAGACACGACACCCAGACAGACAATTGGCTAACGCCCTCCCCTCTTGCCTAGCGTTGACTGCCAATTGCCAGGGGCAATTGCGACGCAACGAAAAATGAATTATTTTCATTTATAATACCCTGTAACTATACCAAATTTTTATATGAGCTATGCTAGGCTAAGTAGTGGTATGTAACAGAAGCCAGACTTAAAGAGATTGTAATAGCTTAAGATTATGCATATGACAGGGGCATATTTTACAGTTTACAGAGCCTCTAACCATAATCGATAAATATCGATCTTCAGTAGTTGAGTTTTTAAAGCTGACCTGAACTGGAAGAAACTTATGTAGTATCCAACTAAGTCAGTGATCAGAGGCAGTACTTAGTTTCTAGTTTAACAAGCTTATATCTATAATCGATAAATATCGATTCGATCAGAAGCAGTTTTCTTGAGCTGCACAAATCCACTTTGATTTAGCCATATCCCCTATAAAAGTGAGCATACCTATCTATGAATCTGATCTTGAAAATCGATAAGTATCGAAACATCTAAAGGACTTAAGGCGCTGAGCTCTATGAAATACTATTTCGAATAAGTTTAAGAGAAGGAATCGACGTTATCTCCTATCTGCAGAGGGCACTTGAAAGTCGTTCACACTCTCGCAGCGCACTCACGTTTGTTTCTTCTTGTTGTGGTTGTTGGTGGTGCTGCGCTGCTGCATTTTGTGATCTTAGCAAGCATTTTCAATATACTCCACACGCATGCGCGCTTTTTAGTTGCTTTTGTTGATGGTGCTGTTGATGTTGTTGTTGTTGTTGCTTTTGCATAAATATTTTTGCAGGCAGCGTCGTCGTCGTCGTCGTCGTTAGAGATTTGGTTGCGGATTTTGGGGCTTGGGCATTTTCAGTTCGCTCGATTTGTTGGCTTGGCTATAAAAAGCAATTGTCGCTCAGCATCAGAACCACAGAGTGAGTTCATTTGTCAGCCAAGCAGCAGCCAAATCTCTAGCAGAAAACTCCACTAAATCTTCCAAAAAAATGGCACAAACATTGTTGCTCGTTGTTGTCAGCGCTTTGGTGGCCGTGTCCAATGCTGTGGTGGTGCCTGGTCCTGGACTCGCTCTGCCCGGTTATCCTAGCCTGGCAGCGCCCGTCTACCCCAAGCTGGCGGCGCCCATCTATCCAGGACTGGCCAAGGTGGCCGTGGCCAAGGTGGCTGGACCCGAGCCATACGATCCCAATCCCCAGTACAGCTTCAGCTACGATGTGCATGTGAGTGGGCGATCATCAACAGAATCCAAGTCAAGCTAAGCCAACTTGAGCTAATCCATGTCATGATTTTCTCTTACAGGATTCGTCCACTGGCGACGTGAAGAACCAGCAGGAGACGCGCAGCGGCGATGTTGTCCAGGGCTCCTACTCGCTGATCGAAGCTGACGGCACGCGCCGAATTGTGGAGTACACCGCTGATCCTGTCCATGGCTTCAATGCGGTGGTCCATCGCGAGGGTGTCGCCGTCAAGGCTGTGGCTCCAGTTGCTAAGGTCTTGGCGCCAGCTCCTCTGCTCCACGCTCCGTTGGTGGCCAAGCTGCCAGCTCTGCCCGCACTGGCTCCCTTGGGTCCCGCCTATGGTCCAGCATTGGCTCCGGCTTACCGCCCGGCTCTGGCTCCCGCCTACTCGCCCCTGGCCTACCACTAAGTCAAGCTCCACTCAAACGGAATACTGAATCACACATGTTGCCGACCTCTTGACCCGCGAACTCCTTCAGCTCGGAGAAGTTGTAACCTATCGTAGTCGATAGTTGTAGTATTTAGTTAAAATGTTAGCGATATATATCGTTGCACTTGTGTACATACGAATTCACTCGATTGGTCTTGATTAGCCACTTCAGCTCCAATCGCTCTCATCTACACTCACATTCGACGCCTTTCCCATGTACGTTTCTTGTCTACTTAATCTTAAGGCTGTTTCGACCGCGATAAAAATGAAATAATATATTCGATAAAAAGAAAAATACATATTTATTTAATATGTAATATATATCTAACCACTTCTTATTTAACTTGAGCTTAAACATGCTGTAAAAGTCGCGAAATGAGAAAAATGCAATAAAAATGAGAAGCAATTTATATGATCGATGGGATTTATGAAGAAATATGGAGATGGGGTCAAGCAGCAGAGGGATATAAATACATCTTAGCGGATCAGCTGGAACTAGCATATGTATTTTCTATTATTATTTTAAATGTAATAGAAATCAGAATATCTTATGACAGTATATTATATATGCGTATAATCTGAGAGACTGTGGAGTATAGATAGATTATAGTTAATGAACTAGTTCATTTACTCATATTAATAAGCTGTGCAATTGAACATATATTGAATACCTTCACATTTCTTTTTAATGCGAGCCACTGTCAATGCGAACTGCTAATGCCTATTTCTAGGCAGAATCAGATCCAGTTTTCCACCACGCACACACACATGTGAGTGGTGCGACCTTAGAGCATACGCACCACTCCGACTGGCTTGCTGTGACCGTCGCTATGTCACAAGGTTGCTAATTGCCAGTTGACCAAGTTGATCTAATATACATATCTATGGAAATACATTTATATCTATCAGACTTGGTTTACATGAAAATTGAAACTAACTGCGAGCGGATCGAGTTGAGGCGGCACCACCCTTTCCCATTTGTTTTTGGCAGTGCCACACTTGGGTGGGTTAGTTATGCAGCTATGCCTCACGCTGGCACGTCGAATACGTCGAATGGCATTGCATAAATGCCTCTTTGATGATTTAATAAAATTAAATCGTAATTTTAATCGCGCTTCAACTGATGAGGCGCCCGAACGAACGTAGCGAAAGCTTTCAACAATTGGCAGCTCGTACAGTGGGCAAAAACCAACGAAATGCGAATACAAAATTTGAACAAAGAGAGTTTTTTATCGACTAATCAAAACGGATTTTAGTTCGGTTATCGATAGCATACGATTTTAATCGATAACTATGTACATTTATATGAGTACTTATAGTTCTTGAATTGCATAATAATTATCGATATATGGAACACCTGAAGATATTTATCGTCATCGACATTTATTTGATATCTGCATATGATCACTTTTATGGGCAGATTTTGAGAAGATCTACGAAAACTGTATTAGCATATACTCTAATCGATTTCTGTATATCGATTTCTTTTACCATAAATTTAGAAATGATTTCGCAATTTACATGGGTCTAATGCCCACATCAGATTATGATCTAGCTTAAGCCTATCCTATCGATACAAAAATGAGCAAATGAGTCAGCTTTAGCTTAAAGCTAAAAAGTGAAAATGTCAAATTGCTAATGTTGGGTATACGCATGTGTTTCTTGGTTTCTTCTTAACGGATTTATGCATATTATTTTAGCAATTTCTCCCCATTGTCAAAGAGAAACAAACAAACAAACACACGTCAAATTAATGAGTGCATTTGTGAGCCGAGAGTGAAATAACAACAAAAGCGTGGCAACTACCACAACAACATAATGCCCACGGCTAACAGCTGATATATATCTTATAAAGCAGTATACAGTATACATACATATATCATATATGATGATAATTAAGTGTTCGTATGTAATCATTTATGTTGGCGCACGCCCCATTTGCAATTGTCGCCTTAATTAAATGCGCTTTCATAATGAATTATATGAGACGGTTGTTTATGCAGTCGCCATGGGGTTTACTTACCCGGTAAACCACGGTCCCCTAGGGCCGTACAAGAAACGCTTGGCGGTCTTCCATTTCTTCCGTATGTGACTGTCGTTCGTTTTGTGCTGCAGTGCAGCATTTTGCAAGCGCTGCATCTCCTCCACCTGTCGCACCTTCCACGGCATGTAGATCTTCTGCTGGAACACCCGGCGATTCGTTGCCTGGAAGCTGGCCCGCTGCTTCGATGCCGCCTTGCACGCCTCATAACACTCCGCCCAGAAGCGATTGATTGGCTCCCACAGATGCAGCTCGATCTCGCGTTGGTAGCGATCGTAGAGTGGCTTTACCTGCGGATATGTAATTATAGGTAAGCACAGTCGTCGGTTAACATATCACAAAATTTGACAGCCAACATAAGTGAGGTTTTATGTGACACTAAACGTGGATCAGTAATATCCTGTATATTATACACTGAAAAGTAATCTGCATAAAACAAATAAATAACTGTGTTATACACGCTTTTATCAGAAAATTCGAGATTAAATATTGATCAGTCATACCCTGTAAATGAGAATGTGAAGTTGGAGGGGTATACTCATAATACACACACTAAAAAAAACAGAGCATTTAAAGCTGATCAACCAATTTATAAAAACATTTACGACAAAAAACTCGTGTCTCAGCTTTTCTACAGCTTTTTTTACAGGGTATCTAGGCCGTTGATCAACCGTAGCCACACAGCAAACCAGCTCGTTTTCGCTTTCATTCATTCGCCGCGCACAGCTTCAGATGCAGAGCGATTCGGAACGGGTATTACGAGACGGGCACGACACGTCCGGTCAGGTTCAAGTTCAATGTGGATGCAGATGGTGCTGCAGCAGCTCGAGGAAGCGCCGTTGGCTCGTGCAACTCGAATGCAGTTTGGCCCATGGCACTGGCCAAAAACAAGTTTTACCCGAATTCAACAAATTTATTTTATTGTTAGCCAAAAAAACAAAAGGAAAATTATAAAATCAGAGAAACATCCGCATTTTGGGTATTCTTTACATAATGGGTCTTACAAGCCCACTTGGCTCGAGGGCAGCCCCGATGGTTCCAGGGCGATGCGCCGTCAGCCGGGTGCTGCACTGGTGGGTGCTTTAATGGCAAACGCTTTGTCTTTTCGACTGGTTCCAGCTGCTGGCGACGTCTCCCCACCGATGGCTGGCGCTGTGTCTGACTCTGACTCTGACTCTGCAGCAATAGCTAACAAAACCAGCCCACTTTCTTGCAGCTCGCTCAGTTGCCGAAAGAAAGTCCGACGAGTCGTGAACGGGTGCGCGCGCTAAAGCATTTACGCGAATCAAGCTCCAATAAAATATCATACATATATACATAAACAACATCTGCAGACCATCCTAACTGTTTGCCTCCAATGAAAGTTGTAGCTGCTTGCCTCAACTCAAATGTGCAAACCAATGTGGCGTTATCTACTTTATCTCTGCCTCGTAAGTGCTCGAACATCGAGAGAAGATGCAAAGAACTCTAAGTGAACAATGAGATAATGAGAATCTGCCAAGTAACTTGGCTTTAAACGAGCTGCAACAGCATCTCAAGTTGGCTGAGATCTTGAAAGAGGGAGAGATCTATTACAGATTAAGAAATATTCTATTCTAATGGAATTTGTGAGACACATATTTTAAACGGGAAGTTTTAAGAACTTTATAGATTTTAAGAATCTCATCACTACTTCAAGTAAATGTACAAATTGTTCTTTTTTCTTGCCTTCCTCTCAAGAAAGAAGTTTTCCGAATTCTAGATTTTTCCATTAAAAGCATTTAGTAGAGATTTAATAAGCTGTACTCAAAATAAATGGAGAAAAGTTATAAATTGAATACCTAGAGTTGCAAGAAATCTACACGAGAATTGGGTGAACTGTAAGAAAATATATGAGTCATTCTTAGAGACTATCAAAGAAACCTGTTATAGGCTAGTTTTGAAAATATCTCCAAGTCTTAGTCTTAAATGAAAGCCTTTCCGTGGTTCAAACGTTAGTCTCCTGAGCAAAGGATGTACTCGATCAGATATCAAGAGAAATTCAGGCAAAGCAAGCCCCCCCAACTACCGCTCCCCTTCCGTCGTAACTTTTCGAGTGCATTGCGCCGGTTAGGCTAATCCGTGTAGACTCCATTGTCTGTCTGTAAAACTGTGAGCAAAACAAAAAACAAAAGCATGGCAAAACGGATTACGATGCCAACTGAACCTGAATTTGGTGACGGTGTTGAGGTTCAATGCTCAACGAAACAAACGGTTGCTGTTGCTTGTTGCTTGTTGCGTGCTGCAAGCGTTGTTGCATGCCACGCAGCCAGCCGGCAATCGATGGCAGCCAATTATGGGATGGGATATGGTGGAGCGAGAGAGTAGGGTGCAGCCAGAGAGAAAGAGGCACGTGATTACGTTACGTGCTTTCGCGGAAGCCACAGAAGCACTGAGCAATAATGCGTCATAGAGCGCGGGTTAAAAGTTAAAGGTTGACAAACATCTCTGCCAAGTTGTTGGCAAATAGAAAAATGGTTGGGAGAAAGTTAACATAAATCGTTAAACATTGACTTCTCTTGCAGCTGCTGCCTTTGGCGCTGGGCGAGCACAGTCCGGGCAATGCCACAGCTCTAACTCAACTCGGAAACAACAACAGCAGCAGCAGCAGCACCAACAGCACCGAGTTGCTACCAATTGCTGAGAAACTCATACGCTATCGACGACATCCACCGCACAGCAAACGCAGCAAGCATCGAAGACGCAATAAGGGACCCAAGACTAAGTATGGACCGCCCAGCTATCCGGCGGAGCCTCCGATTAACTACTACAAGCACACGCCCTCCTTTCCGACGCATCACGAGTTGCCTGGTTTCTCGCTGGATGATTTTCAGCACTTGAAATTCGATGGGGCCGACTTCCAGATACCCGCCTCCAGCTACGAGGCACAGTCCATGGATCTGGATCTGTATAGCCATGGGGAGCCGGATCTGTATGGCGCTCACAAGTTTCCCAGTCTCGAGTACAGCATTGCCGACAGCCATGAATCTCCTCCACCCTCGCTGAGCTCCTACGACCACAAGCCCCATCAGAAGTATGGCGTGCCACCGCAACACCAGAGCTTTGACTCCCCTAGCTCCTTTGTGTCACATCATTACGAACCGCCGCCTGCTCCGGCACATCCACCATCAACTAAATACGGAGCGCCCGCTGTGTCCAGCTATAAGCATTCAGCCTCCCTACCTGCTCCTGACTCCTACTCCATTTACGAGCACAAGATACCGAATTCCGGCTACCATCACAGCTTTGCAGAGCCCCCACCCAAACCCCCAACACATAACACCAACTTTGAGATCTCCTATTCACCTCCCGCCTTCGAGATATCCACCTCCTACCAGGCCAATGAGCCACAATACGAACACAACTATGCAAAGCCATCGCCTGGTCATAGCTACGAGCCACCACCATCGTCTCACAATAGTTATCAGCCTCCAGCTCCTGCTCCTGGCCATAGCTATGACGCGCCACCATCATCGCACGATAGTTATCAGCCTCCAGCATCTCCACCTGGACATAGTTATCAACCACCAAGCTCTTCCCATGACAGCTATCAACCACCAAGCTCTTCCCATGACAGCTATCAACCACCAGGTCCATCGTCAGATCATGGCTATCATCCACCTGCTTCCTCTCATGATAGCTATCAGCCACCTAGTCAGAGCTATCATCCTCCAACATCATCCCACGATAGCTATCTTCCACCAACTTCATCTCATGACGGCTATCTTCCACCCGCTCCATCGCCTCCTAATCTCGGCTATCAGCCTGGGCCCTCGCCTGCTCACGATTTCCAACCACCACAAGACACTCACTATGCGGAGCCGCCGCCCCCATCATTAGATCATGCGCCCAGCTATTCCCAACCGGATACCCATCAACCCGCCCAGAACTATCCGCAGGAGAACTATGCACCACCCTCAGAGGAGTTGCCTCTCACGCCCAATCATAAATTTCCCAGCTTTGATTTTCCAAAATCCAGTTACGAAGTGCCCATCTACGATCCCATACCCTTTGAGGCATCAAACAAAGATGAGCAGGAATCCTATCCGCCCATACTACCCGAAAATACGCCCAACGAGCTACCCTCGGATGATACCCATACCGCAGGCAGTTCTCGTACGCCAACAAAGAGTCGCAAGCGCAAGCGTCGCCCCGCCTTGGCGACGGTTTCTAAGAAACATACGCTGGATGTGCCGGAGCTGCAGGAGGCTTACGATGCTAATGCCCATGTCCATGCGAGGGATACAGATTTAGATACAGCTGCTCATGGCTCTCGCCATGTGGAGCAGAAGCGAAAGTATGTGAGCTATGTAACGCCCTCGATAAGCCCAAGCACAACAACGACAACCACCTCGGCACCCTGGAGTCCCATGCGTGTCCGCCCCACTTCCAGCAATGGCTTCATACCCACGGTGGTTACAAGCACACCACCAACGCGCAGCAGAGGTCGCGGCACTTCCCGCTTCCGCAGTCGTAATCCCAGCACTGAGGCCACCTCGACGGTGGTTACCATCGAGAAGTCTCGCTCGCAGAGCTATTACGATGGCACAATTGCGCCGCCCACCTATCAACAGTTCACGGTGGGGCGTGGTGCGAGGCCAACGCGACCCACTCAGCTGCGAGGTGGTGGCACCACTCCGGCCTTGAACGGCGGCACGGAGCGCAATGCGACTCCAAGGCGCACCACCAAAGGCATCTTCGATACGACGCTCTTCAAGACTCCCCAGAGCGATCGCGAAATGGAGAGAAAGCTCCTCGCGCTACGTCAGAACTTGCCAAAAAATCACAAACTATATTAACAAGAGACTTCTATGTGGGGACTACGAGATAGTACTATCATCGCAACGGAACACGTAAGACTACTTTGGAGCTTGGAGCTAGGTTTAGAAATAGTTTAAGACAAATTTAAATTAAATAAAACGGAAAACGAATTGTGTTGAATAACATTGGAAAAATGTGGGGCAAGGCTTTATCAAAATTACAGCCAATTTATAATTACAGCCCGGTAAGGCTAGGTTTATTTGTTTACCCTTTGTCTAAACTACTGCTACTTCATATACATGTCGAAACTCAGCTACTTACCATGCGTTCCATAAAGTTGCGCCACTTTTTGCTTGTGCTGTACATTTGAAAGTCATTGAAGAATACCGGACCGGAGGACGTGGATGGAAGATCAGGCAGAGTGGTGTCCAAGTTGAAGGCGGAGCGGCATTTCTCCAGCAGCGCCTTCATTACAGGCATCAAGAACGAATACTCCTCCGGATTGCCAACTGGGAAATGAAATGAGGGAGAGAGAGAGAGAGAGAGTGAGATGTAGCATAGCTATAGAACACAATTATAGGGCGTAGTTACCTTCAATAGCATTATCGAGCGCTCGGTTGATGCTGTAGAGCAGATAGGAAAGCTCGGCAGGATCCTCTGTGGAGCGACTTTGAAGTATGGCATGCAATTTGGCTGTGGCCATGGCTACAATACCAGGATTCGGATGATGCGAGCATTTGAGCAACAGACCCAGATACAAGCGAATCATATCCGACCAATCATCCGAGGAGCCCTGCTGGAATATCATCAGGGCATCGAGTAGAGCGAGCACGCCATCCAACAGCTTGGTGGAGCACTTCTTGGACTCATCCTCATTGGAGCCAAGCACCACCAGCTCATAGACCATGCGCAGAATATTTGAGGCGTTCTAAAAATACAAATTCAAAGATTAAACAGAGAAAGTTTGAATCCGGATTAAGGTAATCCACCTCCTGATTGATGTGCGTTTGACTGCCATGCTCCGAGAGATCGAATAGCGAAGCTTGCACTGCCATTTCCAGGATGCGCAGACGCAGCGACAAGTGCGAGGTGATTAGCTCATTGTTTAATGCCAGCAAATTAATGCAGCCGAGCACCTGACCGCGCTCCTGCCAGCACTGCGGATGATCGTTGCCAATGCCGCGCCAGAAAACGTTGAATAACGTGTTTGAAACCAAATAAACCAGCTGCTCCTCGCTGTCCACATCGCCCTCGGCCATAAAGTCAAAGCCAGATGTGCTCTGGAATGGGAGAAATATTATATAATGCCATGGCCATGCCATGCCATGTTAAATATAGGAATACCAACCTCCATGGAATCGCTCTTTTTGGCTGGTCCATGCGGCGATTGTGTGGAGCTTTCGGAGCTCAAAGACTCCTCGCGCTGCAACGAAGCACTGGGCGTATTCTCCGTAGTTTCCGTGGAGCTGCCCAGCGTGAGCGACTCGAATGTGTCCTGAATGTCGTGTGTGGTCTGGCGTATTACCGAGAAGACGCTATTCACGTTCTCGACGACAGCGCCAGAGACAGATTCCGCGAGTTCTAGAAGCAAACAAAGTACGATTTAGTAAACTGCATTAGATGAGGGCTTCTGCTGCACTTACCCTTAATCTCGCTCTCTATCACAGTGGCTGCCTCGGAGACGCTCGCTTGAATCTCATTGAGTATCAGTCCACTGTCGCTCTGCTCGTCCTGCGAGTGTTGCTGCTGCTGCAGTTGGGCCAGTCCAATCTCCTGATCCGAGAATGTAATCAGATCAGCTTGCGCCAGGAAACTGGAGTTGTCCTCCAGCAACACATCCATATTGATGCCAAAGCTGCGACGACGCTCCTCAACCGGCGGAATGCTCGTGATGGGCTTTCGAATGAGCAGGCGAGCAATGGACTCCTGCCAGCCGGTTTGCTTGGCTATTGCCAACGTCGATTGCTGCTTGACAAACGTCGTTTGCAGCAGCCGCTTGGCAATTTCCAGCTTCACCTGCAGATCACAGCTGCTCACATGGTAGACGACAAACATGAGCCCGCCATAGTCCGGCTGGGCGCCCAGCATTTCGTCCACAAGGTAAAATAATATCGTGGAGCTCAGCGACATGGGCGTTATAAAGGAAAAGAATCCAGGAAACATGCTCTGCTCGCTGTTCGAGTCGTACAGACGCAACACCTGCTTATACTTCTGATGCACACGCGAAGTCGCTAGCAAGGCGCCAAGGAACTGCAAAAGGGGAGAGGCATTAAAAGAGGAATTCCATTATAGAGGGATGCACTTACTCGTATGGCCGCCTCTTGGACCTCGCTGCTGTAGCTCTTGTCTACGAAGAAATTATAGATGAGATTTGCGCTTTGGGGCTCGTGCAGCAGCAGCACCATCTGATCCTTGCAGTTCTTGCCGCGCACATACAACGTCAGCATCTCGAGCAGCTCGACCAGCACAAGCTCCTGTCGCACCGAGGCCAGGAAGGCAATTATAGCATTCACCTCCTTGATGTTCACATCCTTTTGCAAATAGAAGCGAACAATGCCGAAGAGCGTGGCCCGAATGGTGCGCGCATCATCGGTGGAGATGTTATCCGGTGTGCTGTAGTACTGACGCACTACGTCCAACATGAACTGAACGCCATAGCGTCGTCGGAAGTATTTCCGGTCATTCTTGATCATCGCACTCAAATATTGGACGTGACCGAGAGTTATTTGGAACTGCAGACGCGACCAAATGGCAAAGTCGAAGACAATGTGCTCGTACAGCGCATCCAGTAGCTGGGCATTGCCGGCTGGCGTGGACTTGTGTGCCTGCAGGGATTCCATAAGCAGATGCGTAGCCATCAAGGCATTCACATCGAAGAACTGGGCAGGACAGCGCTGGAGCATGGTGCCAATGATGGCCAGGCAGTCGCTGTTCAGCAGCTGCTGCTGATTGTTCTCATGCTCGTGGGTGAGATAGCGCAGCAGGCAGAGCAGACTGGCCAAGGGATGTTGAATCATCTTCCATTCAGTGTACATATTGGACGACAGCATTTCCCAGTCCGTAAACTCTTCGGCTGTGGGCGTCCTAAGCGAAGGGGTTGTTGGTGTTGGAGCCGCTTCTTCGTTCGTACTTCCAATGGAAACGTCCGCGTCTTGTTCTTTAATCAAGCGATGCAGCATGGGCAGTATGGCATTGATGCCTCCGATGCTGTTGATCGTATCCTGTATCTTGATTGTCTTGCAGTACTGCGCACTTATTCGGCCTGGATATTTGCCACCTGGTATCAGATCCTGGCAGCTGCCATGCCAAACAGCACCAGGCGCATAGCAGAACACAAATCGTGAATTCAGCTCCAGCAGATCGTTGTCCTGTGAGAAGATCGAGCTGAAGTTTATGCCAGCATCGAATATGGTCTTCAGGCTCGTTGTGGGCTCTGCTAGCAGCACGCCACCCAGCTGGCCCTGCAGGCAAACCTGCTCGCCAAACACCGTATCCTGCATGCCAATGGGAAAGTTCTTCACGTTGGGATCAAAGGCAGTTTGGGTGCGCAACGGTAGAGTAAAGTAGTTGGAAACCTGCAAAGGGATCGATAGATTACAATGCTAGTTCTTAAGAGTTCAGAGTTAATCATATGCGGCTTACATTCGCTGACAAGGTGCGCTCCAGCAGACTGGGCAGCATGCCTTTGTAGGCCGATCCACTCTCCTGTGAGGAGGAGCGTGGCATTGATCCACTCTTGCCCACCTCACTCTGCTTGGGTGGTGGAGCCAGCACAGCGCCGACACCGCACATGGTAAAGGGTTCATTCACAGCCTGCACTTTCAGCGTGGCGCTCAGCTTCTGCACAAAGTCTACATAGATATTGATCTGGCTGTAGGAGAAGGGACGCTTCGGCGGCGTTATGGCCACCGTTAGGTAATGCCATTGTCCATTCAGCAACGTTTTGGTGGCTGTAGCTGTGGTCAGGTATTCGCGACGTGTTAAGGCAGCCACCACCACGTTGCCGTTGGGCTGCACGAAGACCTCAAACCCACAGCCGCTGGCCGTGTGCAAGGTGAGCAGCATGCGCCGTGCATTCGACTCCGGCTGACTGAGTGGATTGAAACGCACGAGCATGTGAAAAATGAAGCCATACGATCCAGAGAGTGTCCAGTTCTTGATGTCCGGCACTAAGATGCCATCCGCTGGCTGCTCAATGGCGAAATATTGTGAGCAGCAGTTGTTGCCACGCAGGCTCTGCAGCGCGATCATGACGACGGTCTAGAAGGCGTTTAAGTAAGTTTTCTATTTTGATCTATTGTTTCGAATCTTGCTCACCTGTTGCAGCTGCTTGTACTGTGCAAACTTTGTGCCCTGTCGCAGCAGGGCAAATATGCACTTTAGCTCCACGGGCACAATGCTCAGCTTGCTCAGCTCCTCGATCAGCTTGATCAGATTCTGGGCACAGTTCTCGGCGAGCAGTTCGCTGCGCAGCAAGCAAACGCAAGCAGCTTTGACCACGCGACTGCCACAAGCAACAGTTTTACTGGGGATTGCAGAGTTGGATAAAGTGGACATATGTGGGATTCTGTTTCGTTGTCACTCACGTGCCGTAGTTATCCGTGCAGCCCTTGAGCAGCAGCACGCTGACATGCAGCTGCTCCTCCTCCTGAAGATCAGGCAGCCATTGCAGCAGCTGCAGCATGACCTCCGGCAACACCAGCAGACGCTGCTCCGCATTGTAGCCCAGATTGAAGCAAGCATCCAGGAGCGCAATGGAGGGTGCTTCAAATTCACGCATGCTGCCAAAGAGGCGTTCAATGCGTCCAGCCAGACGCAGCTGCTCTGCACAACGTGGCGAACTCTGTGTCAAGGCAGCTAACGCATCCATCGTGCTGCTCAAAGTGGGTGTATGGGATATGTGCCAAGGCTAAGGAAGAGAAAAAGCTAATGAATTTCTTGCCATTCAGTCATAGCTAGAGACTCACCCGAATACTTTGGGGCAAACCTATAAGCAGTTCCAGCAGATTTGTCTCGCCAATGGCCTCGCTGACATCGCCGCCACGTGCGTCCCTATTCAAAAAGAGCTGCACAGCAGCCACACTCGCGGAGAGTGCCGTCATATCAATAGCCACATCGCTGTCGGTGTCGCTGGTTATATCAAAGCTGGCAGCGCCGCT